GCTTTACAATACAGTACAACATACAACAGTAACATGAAACGTTGTGTTCTGACTAAAGAAAATTATTCCAAATATTCATCTTATTAATTTAAAAACAGAAACGATTTATCATTTCTTGATCTTTACTCCGTTTGATTCTTGTAATATTATGGCAATAATAAGGCTCCGTAATGACAGTTAGATGTTTAGGACCCGATGAATCGACGGGGAGTTAGCCTCCCCCCCTCCCCAAATCCACTGCTGTAATCCAACCAGACAGCAATAATGTGTGAAATTTTCGTTTGCTAGATACGTCCTCAGCAATCTTCGTCCTCTCTCCAAGGGGAGATCTACATCTTTGTCAACACATTCCGATATAGGCCAAGTTTGTAACGACGTTATTCTATTCCGTGTGTAGATCTAGATCTAGATCTAGACCTAGCTAGGCTAGCAGACGAAGGCTAGACAAGGCAGCGTCGTGACATTTCTGTGACTTTGTGACATATTAATCAGTAGGCTTCTAGAAAGATCAGATCAACAAGTAGATCTAGTTGAAACTCTTTTGTAAAAATTCAGTTTTATAAGGAGCAGGACCAGACGTGTGTTTCTCAGTCTTTTCTCATAGATCTAGGCCTACAACATTATAACACCCATACTAGCCTACTCATGGTAGTAGCCAAAACAACTTTCATTAATTTGTAAACATTGAAGTGGAAGCTTTCGACCGACGCATTGTGAAGATGTGGCGTCTTTTCCCCTTATGAGATTGGCTGATCTCCTTCTCGCCGATCTGGCAACCCTGGACCCTATTTCTTGTTGGGACTTTCCAAGAACTAGAGATGCCTTCGTTATCATTCCATAGGTCCCAAAATTCTGAAAACTGTGTGGCCTAGATCTAGATCTAGATTTCTCGATAGATCTGTCTAGGCTAGATTCTATCTAAACCTATGTGTATGTGCGAGAGAGATAACCAGATCTGGATCGAAGCTAGATCACCCAAAATGTAAGTCACTGAAGTTGAAGGTAGCAGCAAGGCTAGATCTATCAGTGTGGGCCGTGGGACGAAAAGATAATGACTTGTTGATGATTGTTGAGATAGGATTGACAGGCTCTGTTTTGTAACCCTGAGACTGAGAGTCTTGGACTTTTTTGCACGCACCTGTTTGCTGACTTGATGATGTAATGACATTAAATTGGTCTTGTTGTAAGACAGCACACTTACCTTGGACCTAGAATCTATATTTATTAATTTTTGGAAAGTGGCTATTCTCACCCGCCCGGCAGTTCTCCCAAGATCAACTCCTCTCCTCTTCTCTCTCTCTGTGTCTCTTTCTGAATACTGTCTATCGGTGTGGACGATCAAATTGACCAAAACAAAGTTAAAAATGATGTTAAAACACAAAAGTAAATTAATTTGGTTGTCTACAAAGATGCTACGGCTATTTAACTTTTCGAATCGAGCCGAACTACGCGGGTTGCCATTTTGTTTTGCCCGGAAATTCTCGCGCTACTCCTCTCTCTCTCTTTCTCTCTCTCTCTCAAATGCCCACAGACAAAATTGTACGCTTTTAGTAGGCTACAGTTGTAATGGAACGTTTGTTCACGGCACAGAATTCTACAATTTTTCTGTTATCACAGTGTAGAATTCTGTGGTTTAGGGTGAACGCAAAATTTGGTGAACGCGCACCGGGTGAGAATAGCCACAAGACTCACCTGCACTATTCTCACTCCGGGTGAGAATAGAGGTGGCCTAATTTTTGTACAGTACTGTTTTAGGCGTACCTCTCTAAAATCGGGAGGACTTCCGTAACGAGCGACGACTATGAGACAGAATAAAATTGAGGGCTAGGGGTAGGGGTAGATCTAGGGGTAGGGTTAGGGTTAGGCCTCTTCTTTATTGTGTTTGTTGGTGTGGTCGCTCGTTACGGAAGTCCCTCCCTAAAATCTAGATCTTGGTGTCATCTAATCTGCACTGCTCTAGAATCTAGACGAAGTGTCACGAAGTATAGATCTAGTATCAAAACGCAAGAGATCACCTTTTTCAAGATGACAGACTTTACTTTCAAGCTACCATTTTTATACTAAAATGTATTAGGCTATTATTATTACTGTCCTAGATCTATTATTATTACTATTATTATTGTTAAATTATTAAACTTTACCATACTTGGATCAAATAGGAGATAAATCTAATATTTAGACTAAAGTGTTCGACAAGCTTGATTTTTACGAAATGACTATTTTTCAGAACGTTCGGGAAAATAAACTTGATCTCTAGATATAGATATCTATTTCTCCAAACGGTTTCCGCTATTGAGATTTTTGGATTAATTACCAGGTTTAGGCGTCATCTTTCATTCTTCCATTCTGCGAGGACTGGGTAGAAGCATTTTTTGCATCGAATTCAATTTCTAGAGCTAATCTAGATCTAGAGATTTTTAAATGTCTGAATATTCAGATACTTCAGTTGTGGCTGTGGCAAGGTTCATGAACTATATTTCATTTGAAAATGTCTTCAAAAGGTACTGCGAGAAAACGGGACTGCTCAACTTTGGCAGGAACCTATTTTGCATTTAAATTTCTATAGTCACCCCTTAAACAAAAACTAAAATCCTTCATATAAAAAAACGAAAACCTCCCCCCCCCCCTCCACGCCTCGTTCACACCTTATACACACACCCACCCAAACACAGACACACACACACGCTCACTCCTACACACACGCATGTGCATGGGCCACTCCATTCGCAAATTATCTACAAATCTCGAGAACTGAAACTGTTTGGAGAAATAGAGTTGTTTATTTTCTTGAGCATTTGGAGAAATAGAGAGCTGGCCTAATTTTTAATATTGATTTTTTGTTGTTGTAGATCTATCAAACTTTTGGAATAATGCGGTTTTGGCCCCAATGATAACTATGGAGTGTGGGTTTTGGCTTCACTGATGATTGCTACGGGTTCTAAACGATTACTTCTCGACGCGCATGCTAATATATGATATTTGGCACTCAGCGAGCAAAAGATATCAAACCTAATTGAATTGCAAAACATCAAATTTTGGTTAAGTTCATGTGGGGCATACACCCCCCCTGAAACCCCCCGCCCATGTTTGTATAAGGTCAGGGGGGGAAAGCCCCCCTAAAACCCCCTTTGTTAAAAACATGTGAAATGCTACAGCTAATTTTTTACTGAAAAATAGCAGCGCATCTCTCGCTCTCTTTCAGATAAAACATCGATACCAAGAATTTAAGTCAGTATCGACAAAGATTGTACACTTAACAAGATAGTTCACTCTGCCAAAAAAGTGTCAGCGGAAGTCCACGCAGATGTCGCTTCAGTCTTTGTTGTTTCGAAGCTCTTTTTCATTTCTCCAGAAGAAGAATAGGAATAGCATCCCCTTGCGAATCAGTTATTCTGGTTCGCTCAGTGCAGAGTTTTGGATTTATTATAATTTAATGACCTCTCGCCTCTCGTTCTTCTAAAGCCAAAATAAACGAAGGAAACAGTCACACCTTCCACCTGAAGAGGATTTTTGTCAGTGCAACCATTTAAAAAGGCATTTATTCCGAAATTGTAATGATAAATTACAAAAACTTAATAGTTTCACTTTGATTTTTGTCCACTAAAGTAGGGTAAACTGTTTGCAAAGCGGGCGCTTTTTCCAAGAGGGCGCCACCGGATTTTGAGGACACTTTTTTAATTGGTTCAAACAGAGTGAGTGAACCATCTATACAGAATCTTTGGTGTATCGATACAGTACTCTTGGGGGGAAAATCGGAGAATGCCAAACTTTTCAGACTCAGTTAAGTTTTTACATTGTTATGAGGGGCTGTTGCACTTGACTTTTTACCAACCCCCAGTTCTTAAAAAAAATAATAACCCCCTAGCCGAAGCTTTAGAGGGAATTAATACTCCAGTTAGTTGAACTATAGTTGGTATTAATTTGCTATCACTGTGCTACTGACACTACTGTTTCACGTGTATTGTGTGACATTCATTTCATTTTTGGTAAATTTTTATCCATTTTACGCGAATCTCGACTTGATCATATTTAATGTCCGTCCCAAATGATTAGTTTTTGAGGTGTATACCATTTGCATGTTTTATATTGCACTAGGCATAAAATTGTGAAGTAGCCTAATATTTCACATTTATTTGAAATCCGGTTAAAAATAACACAGGCATGTGCATGCTCTATCTGTCACCTGTGTAGACAAGGTTTAAAGTATAGGATCTTGTTCTTCACACATGTGTAAAAGTAGTGTGGAATGAATTATAGTACTTAAGGGCTGGATTTTTCAATATTATTTGATTTAAATAGAAGCACATTGACTCAACAAACCGCCACTTTGGTGTTTGGAGGTTGAAAAGAAATAGCTGGCCAGACAGGACAAGGTGTAAAACCTTCCACAGGGGCCCTTTAACCACCCACGATTCTGAATGGTGGGTGGATAGTGGTGTTTCATTTTTTGTGACTGTTGCCAAAGTGAAATAATTGACCTACAGGGCTATCAGAAATTCTTTTGTTCTAATTTCCGAAAATAAATATGTTGAATGCCTTTGTTAGATTATTACCTTCTACAAAATTGAAAACATGCCTCTTTATCTCTTACACTCACACATTTAGGGAACAATTATAATACCGACAAACGTGGGGCTGTTTTGCCCCCTTTCATTGAAACAATTGCTTCAAATCCTCCGTACACCCCGGGGCAGTGCCACTGACTGTAGTGTCTTTAGGCCATTCCCAAAGGGGGGATATTTCTCGTTCAAGCACTGTAGAATTGTAAATGGGTTGATTCTTGTCACGCTCATAAATGTGCCTGATCTACAACAGGGAACTGCTGCTTTTTCTTTCTTAATCCTTACTATTGTCATTTTCCTCTACTTCTTTTGTATGTTTGTCACTCTCTTGTGACTTGCTATTTCCGGGGTGCCTTGATAGTCGAAGCAGACCTTGTGCTGTTGAAGCTAGAGAGATGAGCAGAATAAGTCTGATTCCCTGTAAAGACTTCTCTGTTGACACCCACCCCTTGGCGCTCATATGACCATGCGGTTGCGAGCGCCGTAAAACCCTCTACTATAATTTTTTTTTAAAATCCTCTGTGAAACTGAAAATCCCAGCAAGCTTTCGTAGTGAGGGGAATGTGAGATTTGAACATGTTCTGCTGGGAGAAGATCTCTAGTTGTATCTTGTTTACCATTTTGGTCATTTTTATTGTGGACATTTTTTTTCTTGTATTCTGTGGAAATCATCCCTCACACGTAAGCTAGGTTGTGAGGGGGGGGGGGGGGGGGGGGGAGTGTCTTGGATTTTCATTTGTTCTGAGTGAATAGTTTACATTGGGACAGAACTAAAATGAATTCAGAATATGCCTTAACTGTCATCAAGGTATATTATATCACAGACTAAATCTTTTCTCCTTTTCAGATCTCATGGTGGATTCCTCAGCGACAACTTGTTGGTGAACTTGTCAGTGCCAGCTCTTACTTTTACCCTCTAGGGGGGCAAGGACCTTTATTATACCATATACTGGTATACCTTCAGATCTCTTTTAGAGGAAATGTGTGGACAAAATGAACCTTTGAGATAAAGTATGCTTGCCCTGGCTCTTCAATTTGACTCCATGTACTCAAATGTTTTGTGTGGTTTGGGTATGCCAAACAACATTCAAGGACCACAGTAAGAAAGATTGAACGACCACAGTAAGAAAGATTGAACGACCATAGTAAGAAAGATTGAACGACCATAGTAAGAAAGATTGAACGACCATAGTAAGAGAGACAAGAAAGAAAAGTACACCTGAGAGTGGTTTTGTTGCCCTGACTTTGGGAAACTTGGATATTGCACATATATATCCCAGCAAAATGGAGGAAAGATATATGTGATGACGCTTTGTTAGCTGTTGTCTCTACTCAGCAAGCCTCTGAAATAGATACTGAATGATTTTAGTTTTTCTTCATTTGTACAGCTAAGTACAATGAATGGAACTGGACCAAAGAGGCTCCCAGGTCATATCCTGGCTCGGGGTGAGGAGCTCAGGAGACGACCCTTCCCTACCGGCCCTCCGTCCACTCAGCCAATGCATTTTTCCAATGGCGTATGTCAAGATCAGGGCGTTAGTTCAAAATTCGTCCCGATTTCTCGACCTGCTGACAGACGACTTCTTACTCACTTCAAAACCATCGACAAAGATGAATCAGAAATGTTTGAAGAATCTGACCCAGGGCCTGCCAAAATACTCGATGCTGGATGTCTTCGTGAGCAAAGTCCTGCCGGCCAAACTGCTCTCGGACACTTGTCATTGAGTGGAAAATTGAGATCCCCTCCTCTAGACTCTGGAAGGGATCTCTTCAAGTCGGGGGAGTCTGAAAGCTCGAGTGACCCCTCGTGTTTTACTGGCCCAGGTCGGGTGCTGGACAGGGAGCCCGTGTCCAGTGTCTCCTCCTTCAGCAGTTCTGATGCCAGTAAATCGTGCTCGGATCAGTCTGTCAGGACTGAGGTGGATTTTGCTGACATGGAAAAGCCAGAAGGGCAAGGGGGTGCTTTAGATTTGAACGTTACTGGCCGTGATGTTGGGCCAGCTTGTAATGGCTTCAGAAAAAACTTTGTTTCTCAGAAAATGGAGAACAGCACAAAGTGTAATGATTGTCTCGAAATGTCAGGACACTCAGCACCAGGGAGTGTGACATCTGGAAACAAAGAAAGGGACGGCATAGTGGGGCATGAACGTAGCGCTGCCGGTGAAGAGAATATTGGCAAGAGTCCTTCACCTTGTCGCGCTGCCTCTGAAGATTCTGCCTGTTCGCAGGAGGACCGCATGTTGTCTGAGAAGGGGAAACAGGCTCGTGAGCGGTACCAGAGTAGTGGTTATGGGACAGGATCAAGAGGCACTGGGGATGAGAGTCCTGGCTCCAAGAATCTCAGTGATGGCTTACAAGATTTGGTCTTCGCAGAGCCTTTTGAGGCATCTGTTGATCTGACAACTGTAGCAGATGATAAAGAGATGTCCTTGGGTCAAAGAAGTCAAGTCTATGTGGACGGTGAGAGAAGAGCCAGGCCTCTCTTGAAGGGTTTGAAAAGAGACAGTGTTATGGCGTCGCCAGAGAGCTCTGTGACATTAGGAAAGCCTAATGCAGCACGTAGTGATGAGAGCTTCGCTGTTCAACATGAGGTGTGTCATCATCAGGGTCCCTTCAGTGCTATTCAGAAACATTCAACGGAGGCGAGCCTTGCTCAGACTAGTGACAGTGACAGCTCCAGCTTTTTTATCTCTGAGAGAGAGTTGGAAGATTCGAACAGTTCTGAAAATTCTTGTCAACTTGCTACTATTGATGTTAAGGGTAGGTGGCAGTTAATATTTCTAACTTTGTTTTGTTATTAACACATACCAGCATCATTCAGAGTGATCATAAAACACTCCAGGAGTTCAAAATGAAATTCAAATAGCAAAATACAATCTTTCTTTAAGGAATTTGAAAATATATCATGTTTTTGGGGTACAGAGAAGCAATTTTGACTCAATCCGGCCTGCGCTCTCGCTCAATAAGTTTATTGACTAAAGTGCTTATATTTTCCCATACTAACAATAAAATCTGTGATCCTAAATGGGCTTATTTTGATACTTGAAACCTCTAAAGAGATATTGAGGATAACGTCATAGCCATCGCTTAACTCAGTTAATTTTCGCATTTTCACATCAACTGAAGCACTCGAAACTGCATTTTTCAAAAACGGTGAGAGATATGAAAAAGCCCATTTAGGATTACAGAAAATTCATTTTTACATAGTTAGGCCAAATATAAAAGAAATCCTCCACTTGAGTTTTAAATGAGAGTCCGGGCCGCAACCCATACCCCTTAATTTTTGTCGTTTTGAGAAAACTTGAAAAAACGTACAGATTTTGTCATAACTTTCTAACCAAAACAGATAGGAGCATGAATTGGATTGTATAAAGACAATTAATCATTTCTCAATGTACCCAATTCTTTTATGTCTAAGTTGAAGAAAAAAGTCACCCCAAAATATAGTAGGTAGTCATGCAACAGAGAGGTCAATTTAGTGATAGTATTAACTGAAAAGAAGAAATATAGGGAAATTTGTCAAAAACTTGCAACTCCAAGTTGCCAAAAGAGGAAAACACAGCCATAAATTGCAGAAGGACTTCTTTGTTCCTAATCAGTCCCTCTTCCTGGGCAGTAGAGACAGACGTCTGCCGGTCCAATTTTCTTCCTCTAAAAGATGGTTCATTTCCTGTTTTTCTAAGCTACACCCTCTATGGCAGTCTCTGCCCTCTATATTTGGGTACAGTCCCTTCTGATGCCACTGTCCATGGTTCGGGCTGAGACCTGCAATTTTAGAAACGGCATAAACGTCTGGGTGCTAAGGGCCCCCAAATTCCAGTCTGCAGTAGTGATAGCAAAAGCTGCTTCTACTCTTGGTTTGGTCACAAAGACTGTCTTAGGGCCCTTCAACCAGGTGTGAACAATGGAAACTCCCATTCTGTTTTTGTGTCACGCCAGGCACGTACTTGATCTCCATTAGCTCATCTGTGGTGCACAGGCTTCATAAATGAGGGGGTTTGAGGTGGGTAGAAAGCCTTCCCTTGTGTGATGGTGCTGTGCTTCTTTGGCTGTAATGCCTTTTGTAAAAGTACAGTATAACACAGATAGCTTGATTTCGTTGCAACTCGCCTCGGTAGTTCGAGGCGTCCGTAGTTCTAGGGATCTGTAGTTCAAAGGATATCTTTAAAAGATAAAGAAGGGAAAAAAAACCCCAGGACCGCAGGCACAGTTCTACCGATGCATGCGTGATTTTGAGTCTTCTGTGTTTGACCTGTCTGTGTAATACTGTAAACGGAGTGCTTATTGGCCCACAGGGGCATATATGATTTCCCCTAGAACATTTCTTATTTGCCCACAAAATTGCGAGTTATATCCCCTGTATTTGGTCTCCTTCCCCCCCCCCCAATCCACAAAGTCCGTCAGTCATATATTTTAAATTGAGAATGTATAATATAGTTTTCCAGTCTAATGCTAAAAATAAAAAGATGAACAATAGAGTCTAAGAAGTTACACATCTTCATCTTGTTATCCAACACAGTATACATAGAGTAAACTAAGAAATAACTCAATTATACCGTAATATATTGTTTGCCGAAAGAAGCAAGCCCACATCCGGAGAACCTAAATTCTAAATGAAATTCTGTTCGCAGACAATCAAAGTTTACTGCATAACAATAACACTGAACTACAGGAACACCGCTGACAAACAATCAAATCTGTAGAAATGTGTGCGAGATGGAATGCCTCAGGAAAACATTAACAAGAAGGGATAAAGTGAGAAAAAAAAAGAGAACAAGTTTGGACAACACCACATATGAAATACATTGAAAAAACAACGCATTAAATGGCCCATGTGGGCCAATAAGCCCCAGCTTATTTGCCCATGTGGGCCAATAAGAGCAGCCCACTGTAAAAGCACCAGTTGTTTTCACTAGTAGGCGGGCATCTGTCATGATGTGAGTCTCCATCTGTGCTGGTGCTGTGCAGCAACGTGGCCACAACTGCTTCTTACATTAGCAGTGGAAAGAGTTGAACAACCCCAGAGGTTTTGTGTAATAGGACTGGAGACATCCGATCTTCTCCTGGTTGAAAAGAATAGAAGAGAAAAAAAAAGTGGGAAAAAACCCCATAAGAATAAGGATTTAGGTGTTGTTATTATCTTCTGCAGACAGAAGCTGGTAACGCATTCAATGGCAAAATTGTAATTGCAGACTAAAAACCCATTTAACACTCTATGCAGCAGGGAGTTATTTATGCAGATGCCAAGCACAAGAATTCAGCTGATAAGAGTCCAATTTCATTTATAACAAAAAAACAAAAAGGACAAGAAGGCAGAATATATACACTCAAACCCTGCAAAACTGCCACCCTGTTTTACTAGCCCAGCTTTCCACCAGGTTTTGCCAATGCACAAAAAGGAACGCCTTTATAAACATAGGCTACTATTTGCTCCCTACCTGAAATGTAGCCTACTAATGTTAATTTTCCCCCAAAACCCTTCACTCTTGGCCACCAGAGGTGCTGCGGGCACAGTCTATACAATGCACACACTACACAGCAGCGACTCAGCAACTGTGTATGCCTAGCCTAGGACCTAGTGATAATCTCCCTTTCTCCACTGACACACTTGTCTGAGTCTGAGAGTGAGTGAATGCATGAAGCACTACGAGACTACAATACGATGGGCATTAACCCCTTCATTACACAGGGTCAGTTTGGGCTTCACCAGACAGTTGTTGATTTTGATCTCCAGGGACAAAGAGTAGCGCTAGATAAGCGGTTGGTTGCATATATATTATTTTATGATTTGACTCAGTTTATAAATTCTACTATCTCTAAAAGGAAAAAACATTTCTGAAAATATCCCCAATAATGTGACTGAATGTGAATCTGCAATTAGTTTTATGAAATTCATGTAATAAAGTAGTATGCCAAATGCAAAATAAGTTCATCATTATGGTCCTCGTGCTTCACAAGGCATGACAAGCACCGTAGATCCCAGGAGAGCTTGCGTCCTTCTCCATTAAAAAAAAATAATGAACAAACATCCATTGATCTTAGGTCACAGGGAGCCGAGAGAGACCTGCAATGTAGAACCACTACTCCATCAGGTCGGGGTATTTTGTGATAAAAACAGCGTTCCAAAGCCTCCAACATTAAAGAATGGACGGTGTGCATCCTCTGATTTGCGTGAGCAGTTGAAAAGCCTTGGAAATGCACAGACCAACAAGGTTCTTCTGACTATAGAGGAAGGCGATATCAGCAAAAAGGTAGAGAGTATCCAGGAGTTACTCAAGCTGATCTCCTGCCCCAGTAGCTCCTCTCTGCCTTTTGACGCAAGTGAGTAGCTGTTGGTAGGCTGTTCTTCCCTCTACACTTGTGAGATATATGCTCAAACTTTGAAAAGTGTATGCACTTCACACTCTCTCTCCCGCCCTCCTGCAC